TCCCCATGGCTTTAAGCAGTACAATGTCATTACTGCTCTGGACATGGACGCCATGATGAGTATGATCTACACATGGCTGGAGAACCTGGTGAAGTTTGAGGAGTCTCATGGCGTTAATAACACCCTACATACCAAGATCGTCCTGAAGTCTGACCACAAGGAGGAGGAGGAGGCTCACATTCTTATTGTGGAGGGCTTCCTGCTTTACTCCAACAGACCTTTGATCAACATGCTCAACCAGTGCCACTTTTTTCCCATCCCACATGAAGAATACAAAAAGAGGAGGTGCTATAGGAACTACACGGTTGCCCCTGCCAACTATGGGAGCCCCAGTAAACCATTAATCCATCCAACTTACCACAAAATAGATGTTTTTTTTCTAATCATGGTTGTCCAACATCTTCAATCTACATCTTCATCAATACTATCCATGTATATGCTGGATGTTATGTAAAATATAATGGCAATATCAACATTTTTTTTACCTTCAGTTCGACCTTGGTTACTCTATAGTTGCCCCCAGTTAGTGGGAAAGCATTTAACTCAGTGTTTAATTCTCTTTTTTTGACCTGTTGTTTAAACACGTAGTAATCATCCATTCATCCCTCCATGTTTTTTCTGCCTGCCTACGGTCATGTCGTGGTGGCAGCAGGTTAAGCCACATAATCAAGTTCCTGCTGGGGTATCCCAAGGTGTTCCCAGGCCAGAGGAGATACATAATCCTCTCAGCGAGTTCTGGGTCTATGTCTCTTCCCAGCTCAACGTGCCCTGAGGACCTCTAAAGTAAAACCCTCCTTAGGTATTTTTATCAGATGCCCCAAATCACCTTAGTTGGCTCCCTTGGACACAGAGCTGCAGGGACTCTACCCCCAGCTCCCATCAGATGTCCAAGCTCCTCATTTCATTTACCAGGCGGAGCCCAGTCACCCTATGAACGAATCCCATTTTGGTCACTTGTATCTGCAACCTCATTCTTTCGGTCACTACCCAGAGCTCATGACCACAGCTGAAGGTTGGAACAAAGACGAACTGGCAAACGCAGCACTTTGCCTTCTGGCGAGGGCGCTTATGCAAAACAGTGAAATCATTTTTGAAACGCTCAAACAGAACAAGGACAGTGTGCCAAAGATACTCAAGGAATGACAGATCAGTTTTGTAACGTCTTCATGAGCCAATGTCTTCTTGTAAATATAAAATAAAACAAAGTCAATGACACACATTCTCTGCCAGGTTTTGTTTGGAGGCAGCGTTGTACTGTCACTGGGAGGCAACAAAACCACCACCCAGATTTTAATGCTACTTTATTACTGAAGAATCTAAAACAGTTAATTGCGTGTCCCGGCTTCACATGCAACCTCCTGCTGTGGTTCTTTTGTGCCACGGGACCATAAATGCAAAGTCAGATGAAGACACCAGCAATCTACAAATCCAGGTGTCCTTGCCAATAACAGACATCTCTTTCATCTCCTGTTCCGGCAACTTTGTCTTGGCATCGTAAAAGATCCACTCGGGGGGAGGGGAGGGGAGGGAGTGTGTTTCACAGTCCACAGCCTACACGTTGCAAGTGCTTATCAAATACCAACAGCTTCTTTCTGCTCAGAAAATACAGGCGCATTATGCTGGAGGGAGAGACCCAGAAACATCAACAACAGCCGGAGAACTGTGGTTGTTATGTAAGCTGAATCAAATTGATCCTATGGGGATCGACTTGTTGGGCTTGAGCTGCAGTGACATGGATGAAAATTCAGGCATAATAATCTGTAGGCATTTGCAGAGGGCAAATCATTGCTGTAGTCCTTGTTATTTCAAACAAGTGCGCGTTCTGGTTGGATCAGATCCTCGTTATCTGACCTCCACTGAATAATAATGTCCTATTGAGTTCAATTACCCCATCTATCTATCTATCTATCTATCTATCTATCTATCTATCTATCTATCTATCTATCTGTTACGTAGCCTTTGTGAATCAAACAGCAGCTACAAATCTCGCTGCTAATGAGAAAACTTGACTGGGGAATGAAACAGAGAAATTGTGTCTGTGAAGCGGCAGACAGCAGAACAGGGAGGGAAGAAAAAAAAAAAAGAAAAGAAAAACCTGACAATATGTTTGAAGCTGTGGGAGACGGAGGTGAGCCGGGTGGAGGAGGGGTGGGACCTCCGAGGCTTTGGAGCCAATTTGAGGACCTTGTGATGCAAAACCAGTCCTCGGCAACAGACAGTTCCCATGGCAACTGTGAGCTGCCAAAGTTCCTTGTTGACAAATGACGGCTCCCTTCTCCTCAGCACTCGCCCGGCGATGCGTGTGTGTGTCTGTGTGTGTTATTTGGCAAGTCCCCATCTTTGCCTTAGGCATGGAGGGGAGGGGGGGGGGTAGAAGGGGTGAAGGGACGGAGACAAACCGAGAGAGGGAATTGTGTTATGCATGCAGACATATGTACATTTGGTATTCACAGACACACACACATACACACACACACACTGAAGCTGCTACAGTGTCTTCTGAAGGCTTTGCTTTACATCATGTTTTTAGTTTTATAACTATGATGATTGTAAAGCACTTAGTTATTCTGATAATACAGCAGGTAATTGTAGTTATGTGTCATTGTGCAGAACAGTGGTTCCAAATCTGGGGGTATTTAAGACAATTGAAATCAGAATTTAAACATCTGTATAGTAAGTCAGCTGTAACACTGCAATCGAGAGAAACTAGTTAACAAGCCAAGATGGGAAGTGATGAGTGGTTTACATAGAAAACAATGAAATCATTAAAACGCTCAGTTAAAGGTCAATAAACATGAATGTAACAGTGACACTGAAAGACTGAAATTACCTGGAAGTAATGAATAATTGGTCGAAGGCTAAAAGTGCTGAATAAATGGCTGAAACATCCAGCCTGTTCTGGTCGTACACATGCAGGCTTCACTAAACGGACCTGAATGCTCAGTCTATATGAAAAAGTGTTTACTGGTGAAAAGGTCAAAGCAAGTAAGACATTACACATGACGATGATGATTTTTTAAAGACCATCTCTGGTGAGTTTCTGTCTCATTTTTATATGGTGGAGCTAAATAAGCCGTCGACACCATGTCTGAGCTTTTCCACCTTCAAACCACAGTGTACTAGCGACAGTCTCAAAAACAAAAATTCAGACTTCTCTGGTTTCAGACATTACAGATATAAGGAACCGATCCTGCCAACGTGCTGTATGGAGCTTTCTGTATCATTATTCCTCCTCAGAACGGATCATCTGTGACTTAATTACTTCAACCTGCTATTGTGTAGCTTAGTTTTACATAATCTTTCTTTTATGCTCTATGATGAAGCATTACGACAGCAAAGTTGGTGAAAACCAAAGAGCACTTCACAGCGAAATGTAAAGGTGAGAACAAGGTTCAACCGGATGTAAGTGGCAGCAGGTTAGAGAGCCTCTAAAGTAGAGGAGTAACTGTGAAGTGTAATGTACTCATAGCATTTTTTTTTTTACAGTAATGTATTACGTTTTCAAACGACAACATTTGAAATCAGACAGGTGCACATCAGTGAAGAGGTATGTGAGTTTAACTGACAGCTGTTACGGGCACATGAGACTAAAAGGTTCGGAATCACTGTGTACACCTTCAATGATTTTGAATGTGCATTTAAATGAATCAGTTTTTGTCTCAGCATATTTATTACGTTTGGTGGTCGCTTACGTAAGCCGTCCAGACATTGTTTGATGGAGAAATCAGATTTCCGTACGGCGCTTTTGTGACAGTATTTGTGACAGTCAGTCCAATAAGAGTAAGCGCCGCAAAATGAGAGACAGTAATACTGAGGGATCTGAAGTGGAAGCGGAGAAAGATGGGGGCAGGCTGAGCGGCAGGATCCACACACCCCTGCGGCAGAAGTGTCGTGAAAAGATGATCTTCCATCCTCACCTCGCAACAGAGCTGTCAAGATGTTCAGACCCGTGATTTAACCTCCCCACTTCACACTGTTACATCCTACTGACACACACACACACACACACACACACACACTCTGCGCTATGCACTACAATGGCTTAGCCGCTTTCAAGCAATCCGAAGCAATGTCATAGAAAACCTGCACAGTATTAGAAATAATCCAGTAATTAGGGCACACACGCGGAGTACCATTACTGCATCAAAGGAATGTTTAACTTAAAGCTCGTGAATGCCAGTGGATGACAGCACTGTGCACAAGCTGCATTATTCCAGCAGATAGGGCATTTTTAGCAACAACAAGCAATCACGTGTGTGGAAAATGTACATTTTGAAATAGTCCCTGGCTTATCTCTGGGCTGTAGTGGATGCAGGTGGACGGGTCTGTTTTATGTTACATGCAGTCGATATTGCAGGGACAATAGATATGCCAGGGAGAGCAGGGAGGAGTGTGGAGGTGACTGCGCCGAGCGTAATGTCAAAAAGATTAACATGAATTGAACGGCAAAGTGACACCTGAGAGACATTCGGTGAGCGCAGCACGCTGCGGCACTGCACTCCACTGAACAGCCGACAGGATGGCAAGCGATTCAATAAGCAGGAACTCGCGCACGTCCCGCCGTGTTGTGGTTAAACACTGCAAAGATCAACATGGTTATGAAGGAATAAAGGAGGAAGCAATGTTTTTTCAACATCTCTTTTTACTGATCTTTACACTTGTCACAGAACATCACATGAAATTATCAGAGCAGACTCGCTCTTTTGTTTTTAATAACAGACAATGCAGTTACATGTTCTCGTCTCAGAAACAGATATTGCTTTGTCAAATTCTTTCATTCTTTAAAAAATACCACCAATGACGACTTTATCGTTTAGGGTTTAGAGAAATCAAACGAAACAGGCTTTAACTTGTCTAGTCGTAGTCGCCGATGCCACTGGGGATGTTGTTTTGTACACCGGAAAATGGGCAGGACAAAGAATGAGTTCACCTTAACAAACCAGCCAAGCCCATCCATCCAAACAACGTGGGCCTTAAGCTACGTCACAAGAAAGAAAATACAACAATAGCACATAGTCCTTCCATTTTTTTTTTTTTAACAACTTTGGTTTGGGTTTGTCATCATGTGATCTTCAGAAGTCCCAAACGAGACACAGCAACAAACAAGAATCCACTGATCATGCCGTCAAAAAGGCTCATAACGATAAGAGCTGGTTTGGTACTGGATCTGTCTTTGAACGGTTTTGAGTATCGCATTTGAATCTGACATAGATAGTCACCAGTTTATACATAAACACGCTGGTAATGTTTCGCAAACATTATTTTTATATGATGCTTGGACACTTAAAATGTAAGAAAGCTCAGGGCAGGTACACAGGTGTGACTCTACAGAGGCAGGGTGATGGGTAAAGGAATAGTTAAACATGTTTTTTTCAAGAGTTTAGATACGATGTCAATGTCATGAAGCAGTGAGCTTAATTTAGCATAAAAACAGGATCTAATTATTGCAATTGTGGATGTTTTGGGGCATCTTTCATATTTTTATTACTAATATTTTAGTCAATGGACATGTGATGTAGGTTATAAGAGGGGCTGTCACATGTACCGCTAGATTATAATAGTTACGTCCTCATCGCTCCCGGCTTGTGTCGACACATAACCTCATGAAAAGTCACACAAGACTTTATCATGGTGGCCTGTTGTAAATCCCCACAATGCTCTCTGCTTACCAACACAGACCTGCCCATCTCCTCTGGTCGCTAAAAAGTAAGAAGCTTCCCCTGGTGGCACAACCAGGTACTACAGCTAATCTACATCAAATGTGTATTAATTAGGAAAATGTCGTCAGGTATCACCAGACACTAAATATAAAATGATTTTGATTGGATTTGGGGCAAAAATAATGCCTCTTTCAATTTTTAAATTCAGAGTACGAGATCCGGTTCCATGTTTTTAGATTCATGTCATTTTTGGTAAAACCTTCATCAATGACAGAACAACCAAACCACAACGAGCCTTTTCCAGTTAAATCTAACAAACAAAAATGAGGTTTTAGATACATTTCGCTTTTCGAGGCTTCAACATCTGTCCTTAAAAGTTGGCTGTAAGTTTGTGCTTTGTCAAGACAGAAAGTGCTAGAAAACATGCATTCTGAAGTAAAAACAAACAACACTTTTTTTGGATGTGGAAATTTTGCCGTCAGTTTTGAACCGTTTTGAAGAATCCCTGCATTTAACTACATGCCTGTGTCCTGTTTTAGTCAAACGCAATCACTTGGAATGCAAGATAGCTATTTAGTAACAAGAACAATTACATTAACACACAATATACATGTATCTAAAAAACACTAAGGCACTTTAAATTGTGATTTAACAATGTTCATGATTGTGTTTTAAAGTAATTTGAAGTATACACATTGTGCCGCTGCTGCAGCACAGTCGCTTGCCATTGCCTGAGACAGCGTCAAAATCAACAGGAACACATAATCATGTGTAACCCCTGCTTATTAATAAAAAGAACAGCTTAAAATCAAGTTTTAAAATGCTACATCGTATCTTGCAAACACACACACACAGAAGCACACACTCCACAACCCATTATTTCATAGGCTTGTTTAGGGTCCTGAAATGAGACCGTTGCACCAATACACAGCCCCAACTGAGACCTTTAGTTTTGTGCTGTGGGGCTTGAAAATGGTCTTGGAGACAGTGCAATAGCAAGCTTCACTTCACCTTTGGGATCTAAGATCCCGCCATATGTGACCTAAGTCTTTATAATTGTTTGAGAAATGTGTCCAGTGCCAACAAGGGCCAAGAAGTGTTTTTTCTTCATCTACCAATAGAGTTGTGTCTGTGCGCCACCCTGGAGTATAATAGACCATTAAAATAAAGTTGACTTGGCATTACTATAGTATAGGTAGCTTACATCTTCATCTGCTATGAGGAGAAATAATCTTCAACTGATGGCAGTTGTTGTCATTATTACATTTCATTCTAACAGACTTAGAATTTTAGTAATTTCACAGAAAGCACAGTTATTGTCTATGAGCCCTGCGGTGCCAAAAGCTAAACTTGTGGAGCTCTCTCTCTGTGGTGGTTGAGTCCCACTGACAAGGTCTCACAACATGCTCCTCTTCCTCCTCCTCCTCTTCCTCTTCTTCTTCCTCCTGCTCTCCCTCCTCCTCTTCTACCCGATCTGCCATGCAGCTGTCCTCTGTCCTTGCATGTGCGTGACCCAGCAAGGTCCGAGTCCTACTTTTCTGGCTTGGTTTGTCCTTAACATCAGCAGAAGGTCCTGCTTGTCTTCTTTCATCATCTTCTTCCTCCTCCTCCTCTTCCTCTCTCTCTTCTTCTTCCTCTTCCTCTTCATGTTCCTCCTCTTCAATATCTTCATCCTCATCATCGTGATCATCTACAGCCACTGTCAGCCCTAACTTACTCTGGCTAGCTAGCTGGAAAAAGGAGGAGGAGTGTGGTGTAGATGGGCAGGTGGAGAGTGCTGCATCATACATGGAGAACGGGAGGTGGAGGTAGTGTCCTGCAGCAGCCGCCGCTGCGTAAATGCAGCAGCATGTCTGGGCACAGTCAGGGCGTACGTCCCCCTGTCCCCCGCGGACCATTCGGAAACGCTTACGGAACGGCGGTCCAGCTTGAGGTGCTAAGCAGATCCTGGTGGGTACAGCTCTGTGGAGGGCCTGGTGGGCGGGGTTGGTGCTGGGTGGCAGGACGCAGGGGCCAGTGGCGAACGCTGGGTTGGGTGGGAAGCACCAGTCGGTGCTCTGGAGCAGGATCTCGGCTCGCAAACGACGAAGGAGGTTGTTAACGAGGACGGAGCGGCGGAGGAACGCTTCCGGGTCGTCGATGAATCGCATCTTCTCCAGAGAGAGGCGCAGCACATGGGCACGCTCCTCCAGAACCGGTGCAACCTGAAGGACAGCAGCCCATTAGATCTACCTGTATATAACCTGACTCAGTTATTTCAAAAACACCGAGCTAGAACACGGTCACTCTAATAACACTTGCATTACATAACTGGGATTGTTTCTGTTTTGAGTCAGTAACTGAACAGTATTTGCACCATCTTTCAAATGATGTTTGGTGCTCAGCAAAGCTAATCAAACCCTAATTTGCAGGTCCTCACTTCACAATAACTACATGTGCAAACAGAGACAAGTGAATATAATTAACTATGCTTGAGTATAATCAAAGTCTTTATATGCAAATTTCGCCAATCAGCAGGAATATTGGTAACACCGCTCGGCAGTGATTTCAGGCTAACAAGACCAGGCTGCTATCGAAATAAATGGGGAGGGAGCCAACTGCAGGTTCAATGCTTGCTTGAACGTAATAAGTACATATATAGAATGACCTGATAAAATAAAATAACACTAAAAACATTTGGCGATTTTGGCTCAGAATAAAGTTTAAAAGCATTTCCCCCAACAGGTTGTACTTCCACTTTGCATGTGCAAAATTTCATGACGCTATTCTTTCGTCAATGCAACAACACCATTGGCTGGATGCTTCCTGGTTTGGCTGTTACAAAGGAACACAATGTTTTTTTGCGGGGGTCGGGGCAGGACGTGTGTCATCCAGCAGCCATCTTTGGCGTCAGAGATTCTACGATAGATTTATACTCAGGATTCTTTAAGTGCCGATGTCTCTGGTATGACCTTCACTATTTAACGGACTTCCCATAAACTCTGCTCGGTTAGTAAACAACCTGTCACATGAGAACGTGGAATACGGTGTGTGCTGTGAATACGGGAACGCGTCAATACTCACAGTCTGGCAGTACGTCCTGAAACTGAAGGGAGGCTCATCGTCATCGTCAACAAACTTCCTCTTGAAGTATGCGATCCTTGACACTGAAACGTGATCAGGTACTCGTCTACAGGGGGCTTCTGCTTAAAGAGAGAGAAAGAACAGTACCGTAAATCCACTGTTGGACGATGTACTGGTACCATTAATCCTGTGTGCTGTATGTGCTGTACAGGTTGGATTGAGTACATGTTTAAATAAAACTGACTTTAGGGACTGGAAGAGATGGAACAGCATTAAAGCACCGTCTCCTATATCAAGGCCATAACACATGTAAAGTAAAATACTGACAACAAACCAAAACTCTGTTCCATTACCACCTGGCAGAAAGCCTGCTCCTTGAGCATCCATGCAACTCCTATATTAAAATGTCTGGGAAGTGTTGTACAAAAGACATTAATGTAATACTGAGATCAGCCTAAAAAGGTGCTATGTAATGATAAAAGCAGACAATAAGTTTCTGTCTAATCAGCTAAACGTTGTGCCTCATTTGAACATTGATCTGTGTACGTATGCGAGTCAACCGTACTAACTGTATTCATTCCTATTGTAACCTCATTGATCTGTTGTTTCCATTCCAGAATTTGCCGTCAGTACGTTAAACAATGTGAACTTTATGGAGACGTGTACAGGAATTTGGTAAAACAGCTAAAAGGATAACAGTTTACTGCTAGTTGCTCGACTATGTTTTCAGTCAGATAGTTTAAATTTATCATTAAAAAGACACTAATTCAGCTGGTACATAGTGTGTAGCCGTTCGTACGTCTTCTCACAACTGGCTCCACACCTGGCAGGCCAACCTGCCGATTTATTTCTCACCGAGTATAATTGGTCCTATTTTTGTCGCAGTAATGCTCCGTGCACTTATTCAAGAAAAGTGGATGACACAAAACTGAAATAATTAGCCTCTCTCTCATGGCTGTGTTGAAGTTGATATCCAATTATTATACAGAATTATGAACACCAAACAAAGCCGTGTGGAAACGAGGTGTTAGGCGTGACGCAAACCTGAGATTTCCAAGTAATTCTAGTTTTCTTTTTAAATGTACTTACATTTAAATGGCCGTTTAATTTCTGTAAATGTAATTGAAGTAAGGAGCACATATTGCCAGCCTTCCACCATGTTAATTAGCTGATTGCTCCACACCAACAGCATCTGCTGCACACTCCCATAAATGGTGCTAAATGCTTAACTCCACTCAGATCTGATATTTTTGGCACATGTGGAGCATGTTGGCTTGGACAGATGGGTCTAATCGTCAGCTCAGATGTCCGTCAAATAACTTGTTTTTACTCAACGACATATAAGAAGTCTAAATAAACGACTGAATGAACATGTGCGGTTGTACCTTGTGTAAATTGTTCTTCTGAGCTGCATGGCGGGGCAGGGTTGGACAGGCAGGTCTTAGTGCAGCGCTCTGATTCCCATATGGGCTGGTATGTGGAGAGCGGAGGGTCTCCCTCTGGGTCCAGGAAAGGATTCATGGACAAAACAAGGGTCATCTCTCTCTCTGATTCAGCTCTGGAAAAAAACAGAGTGTAAGTCAGTACAAGCAAGTCAGCTGAGTTTGATATCGCACAGATATCATTACATCATTATAAATGAGGAACCAGAGCGCTAAGCTGAGGATACTTTGGTTTATTCCAGGCATCAATCAATGCTCCATCAACTATTAGTGGTTAATTCAGCACCAGTTTGGAAATATTTATGCACATTACCAATGAACAGGTTATTTCCATAAATCTCACAAGTATTCCCGCATATGCTTCCCTAATGATGCAGTAAATGTTAACAAGCTGTTTATCTGATACTGGCAAATAAACTGATTTTGCGTCGAGGAGTAACCAGCTTCTGTTCAAGCTGCATGGCAAATCTGAGCAACAATAATGGTGAGCACTGAAACCGGGCAGATGGTTGGCAGCTCTGCTATATGCACGGTTGTGTAAAGCGAGGGACACAGATGGAGAAATGACACCCACTCACACCATGAAAACCCTATTGATTAGTTGTTGGAGAGTTTAGCGAGATGCTTGACACCAATTTGTTCGGCGAAACGGATCCCACACATGGAATCACGCTGGGAAGCTTGTGTCAACAGCATGATAATGTAGGAAGCGAAGGAGATGATGTGCACAGTTGCCAGCGGGTCCAGCACACAGGGCAAACAACTTGACAGAAGGATTCCAATGGGCACAGTGTCTATTTGATTTTAATTAATGTGGAGTTTTGTCGATTTCCAAATGAAACAAAGAAGCTATTTAAAGCCGCAGCACCTTATGTTTCAAATGAAAGTGATGGAGATAAGAAGAAACATGAGTGAGACACATTACTTGGCAGCGAGCAGCGTTAACCTGCCAACTGAGCTTTTTCAGTCTGAAAACAGAGGCCTACTGTGAAGACACTGAGGGGCCTCTGAGCCAAAGTCTGTCCGCGATTCTGTGAATCTGTCGAGAGAAACCGCATCGTTCTTTTGATCACGCTGAATGGCTGTCATTGGGTCCGCTGTTGATTTCTCCCCTCCGTGCGAAGCCAGCTGTGAGACGCATCAGCGGCCTGACCTCCTCGTTGCCACCTTCCCCTCCTCGGAGCTCCTCCTGCCCCTCCTCCACCTGCTCGCATGAACACATATCATCGCCCACAAACCATCTTGACAGACCAAACCGAGGCGACACCATCTCAGCCTCACCCCTGTTGGGTAGCTGATTAAAATGTCCGCTTCAATAAGCTCTCGGTTTTGCTTGGCTGAACAGTTTTATTTCTCGCCGCTGCGTTTCTAGTGTTTGCCTTTAACTGACTCATCAGACACACCTAAAGCCAGCGAAACATCACCTCAGGCGGCGCTCCTCTCACCAATCCGATCTACCCAGCCCCAGGGAGTAATGGATTACACACAACAACATTACATTTTGTATTTCTTAGGGAGCACGACATGCTTTCAGATCGGGGACAACTTCAACAGTTAGGTGCGTCTCCTGCGTCGCTGCAGTTGTGGCACCAATCTGGCGGCGTTGTACGTTTTATCCTCCATCTTATCTTCTCCCCTGAACAAGACCCCCTCGGAGCTGCTGCTTATGATGGTAAAAGGAGTCGCATGTTGCAGGGATTATAGGAGCTGCTCCATCCGGGGAAATACCCAATAACGTATCCAGGGGACGGATCTCGGGAGAGTAAATGTTCAGGAATTTCAATTGATGAAATAAAAAATGGGTTGAAATTCTTGTCTTTGCCAAATACAGAAAAATAACGACATGTAGAAATGGTGTAAAAAAAAAGCTTTCATGTGTTAAATCATCTCTGCATGTCACCCAACACTACTGGTATCTTTAGGGAACACAGATCTGGAGTTCATTCACAAATCTGCACTGATGGGTTGAGCCCGATCAACATAGGATCTGGGTTCAGGTGGAGACTTTGGTGGACCAACCTTACATCTGAAATATGAACTGCAATCACTCAGTCAGATTAGTGTCAAAGGAGAAGTGACACCAACTACATTTCGTCTGTTTAACTACACGTATGGGATGGATTTAAAAGGCACTGGTGGGCCCTCATCTGTTTCTTCTGTAGAGTTGCTCAGAGTCGAGCAGAACACCTGCCATGAATAGTTCCACTAGTCGGAGTGAAACGTCTGCTCTCATAGTGAGGAGCAAGATGTGCTCGAGTGCTATGAATGGAGGGAGGATTCAGACACCGATCAATGATCCAACAGGCACTTTGTTTGAAGCATACTGACGCCTTAAATGCACTTGACGGGCAGGAGGATGCTCCTAAGTCATCAGCTGATAGGTCTTTCTGTAGTTTGTAGCAGGTCAAGCACAGTCAGCAAAATCAACCTACAGAAAGAAAAGAGTTTGGGTGGACGATACATTTATGTCAGTGGATAAGCCTAAAATGATAAAGTAGGCACCTTCTCATTTGTTTGTCACACTTATCAGTTCACAATCATTGTAATAGAATACTTTATTTATGTAGCTTGCTCGTGAATGAACATAAATAAATTCGCTGTTGCTGGTTGGAAGCTGGTGATCACATTCTGCACTGCTGCAACGCCGACTGTTAGTGGTTGGCGGGAACCTGTGCAGAAGACGAGGGAGATCGAGGAACAAAGAAGCAGCTGGTGACTCCATGCGTATCGTATCATGTGTACGTGTAGGAGACACATTACTGTCTACACTCGCCTCGGGCCAACACTGTGAGCTAACGGTGACAACCAGACTGGCACACGGGGGGATACTCTTTTTGAAATTTTCCGGGTAAAGAAAAGACACAAATTACAATTTATTCCAACGTTTCGGCAGCACGTTCTGTCACGTTGACGTATGTGGAAATATTAGAGGGAGAATCCAGCTGAAAGTCTTCTCTCTGACTGTAACTCAGCTGTTCTGCGTACACTTTATGATATCATAATAATAATACATGATGTTGTCAGTGTCAAATTGGACTTCTGAAAGCTACGATCCAGCGCTGAGGGCTCCCACCACCTGAGGACCACCGACTAGGGCCAATTATGTCACTGTTATTGAGCCCCAGCTCCATGGTTAATTAGCAGCTTTAGCCTTTCTCATCTCTCCACCCCAAGCTGCTTTCTTACCCTAAGCTATTTTCCTCTCCATCACCTCCCCTCACCGCCGCTGTTGCTACGTTTGCTCGGGCACAAAGAAACAAGCATGCCATCACTCCTTCTGCCCTCCGTAGGGACCTCCAACTCGACATCCACCCCCCTCCTCCCTCCTGTTACCGTCTCTTTCATCCCCTAGACTCTACCCCTCTCTCTCTCTCTCTCTCTCTGACATCCTTTCAACAGCGGTCACAGTTGACAGCTCTCTGAACCAGGGGGGTGAAGAAGAAAAAAAAAAAACAAAACAATGAGAATACAGACGGAGCAGCTTCCCTCCATGTACAGCAATACTTCTTGTTCTTCAAAGAAAAGGAGGATGAAGGGGGGGAGGAGGGGAGACGGCGTGAACGAGGGAGGAAGAAATGGAGGATTGAGAAATAAAAACAAGGGTTTTGGGGTGGAGAGGAGGGGGGGAGATCCTTCTCTTTCTCCCTTCGCTGTCTGCATCTCATAGGGATGTGAGACTGACTGAAAGCGAGAGCAGACTGTGCGTGTGTGTGATTGTGTCTAACAAAGTGTGTATTTGAGGGGGGAGAGGAAAAAAAAAAACTGTAAGTACAAGTGTACGCTAGCATGTGTGCGTGCTTCACCTCTGTTCAGTCTCGGCTCCTCTGGCTTCATCCCTCTTATCTCCTCTCTCTCGCAGCTTCCCTAACTCTGTCTGACTCTCTATCTCGCCTTCTTTTTCATTACACCCTTTGATGATGAGAAGTTAATTGCGGTGCCAGGGCACGAGACAAACCGTGGGAGGGAAACAGAGAGCGATACAGAATGGGAAGAGAGAATAGGAGGGGGGGGAAAGATGGAGGAAGGAGGGGAGGGCTGAGGGATAGATGGAATGAGTCAGGCAACGAAAGATAAGTGCCTTAGGAGCCTTGTCATGAGTGGAGACAGATCGCCCGCAGGGATGATTTCTGCTGCTGTGATTGACTCACTCCCTCCAGCGCTGAGATAGACAGGCGAACACACACTCAGACATGCACAGCTTGTTGTGTCCTGAAATATTTTGGTAGGAAAGTCAACCAAGGCCACGACAAGCCAGCCGAGGTGCTCCGACACACGGAGCGAGCTGCTGTAGGTGTTCATTTATCTTCCTCGCGCGGCGTAATAACTGGTGTCTCTGGCGGCTGAAGATTTTAATGGTCGGTTTAGATCAAATTCTGGTGCTGTTTAAGTGGTAACCTTTGCATACAGTCCTGGTGCGACCGTTTTAGCCACTGTGGATGTTTAGACTGTTATCCATCACACAACGCCATCAGGGAGGCGCCTGATTGGTCCCAAACATGACGATGCAGCCAGAATGGTGGAAAACCAGCTTCAGCCACAACAATTACCAGGAGTTCAACAGATGGTGAGGCCCCACAGATCTCATGAAATCAGTGTGGGATTACATGAAGACAGCTGAGACAGCCTGAATCCACAGAGGGACCGAGGCAAGTTCTCCCAAATTAGGGGAACAACATACCCGTCAAGTAGCTCACAACAGTGCACAAGTGTTTTTTTTAGCATCCTCACTTTACTTGTAGCAAATCGTACATAAACTAAGTCAATTTTACAAACATCTCCTAATTCTTTCAAAACCTAATCTGGTGGAAAGTCTTCTGAAAAGCAGCCAATCTCTGATTTTTCCCTGTGAAAGCTGACTTCCTTCCTCTAATACGTTCTTTACCGTGGTGGTTTCCAACATTTTTGGCGTTTATGTGCCCTATGGAGTTTTTTTTAACCAATAATAGAGCTGCACATTATTCCACAAAGACACAATGCACCCACAAAGGCCGGTGTGGACAAGAACACCATCAAATAAACATGGATGTGAACAGTGAAGCGTCTAAATAACATCTTTAAAATGGCTTAGCTAACCCGTCACTGCAAACGGAAATACGCTCAACACACTTCTTAAACT